GCGATCCTCAGATCTCAGCCTCCTGAGTAGCTAGGATTACAGGCGTGAGCCACCAGCGCCCGGCTGCAGATGAGGAATTCTAATCTAGGGGCCACACGATTGGAAGGTATTTTATTATTTTTGCTAGTCCTGGGGCTTGAACTCAGGTCCTGGGCACTGTCCTGAGCTTCTTTTGCTAGCACTCTACCACTTGAGCCATAGTGCCACTTTTAGCTTTTTCTGCTTATGTGGTACTGAGGAATCGAACCCAGGGCTTCACCCATGCTAGGCAAGCACTCTACCACTCAGCCACATTCTCAGTTCTTGCACTCCCATTTGCTGGGTATTTAAAATAGTGACCTCAGCTGGCCACTAGTGGCTCACACCTATAATCCTAGCTACTCAGGAGACTGATATTTGAGGATTGAGGATTGGGGTTTGAAGCCAGCCTGGGCAGGAAAAGCCCATTTGACACTTATCTCCAATTAACACCTGAAAGCTGAAGAGGAGTTCTGGTTTAAAGTGGTAGAGTGCTAGCCTTTGGGGCGGCAGAGGGGAAGCTCAGGGATAGCACCAGACTGACTTCAAGCCCCATGACCAACAAATGAAAACAAAACAGTGGCTTCATTTGTTGATTGACTAAAGCTATTTTTTTTTTTTTTGCCAGTCATGGGGCCTGAACTCTGGGCCTGGGCACTGTCCCTCAGCTCTTCAGCTCAAGGCTAGCGCTCTACCACTGGAGCCACAGCGCCACTTCCAGCTTGTTCTGCTTATGTGGTGCTAAGGAATTGAACTCAGGGCCTCATGCATGCAAGGCAAGCACTCTACCACTGAGCCACCTTCCCAGCCCTAAAGCTATTTTTTAATAGGGTACACAAACAATGTGTTATTTATAGTAAATAACATCTTTTTATTTATGAATATGTCAAAAGGAGGAACAAGATCTGGGGCTCTGGAGTTGGGAAGTGTTTTCAGTTCAGATGATGATGATGATGCTGATGCTGATGATGCCAATGCCACCAGTCCTGGGGCTTGAACTCAGGGCCGGGTACTGTCCCTGAGTTTCTTTTGCTCAAGGCTAGCACTCTACCACTTTGAGCCACAGTGCTTCTTCTGGCTGTTTTCTGTTTATGTGGTATTGAGAAATTGAACCCAGGACTTTGTGCATGCTAGGCAAGCACTCATCCACTAAGCCCTTCAGTTCACCTTACGTGCCATCATTTTTAATGTGTTGGAGGGGTGGTACCTGATGCATTGGTATCAGGGTTCACTGAGTTGGCATTAGTTTTAATTTACTCTAAAGAAACTCCTTGCCTGCCATCAAGACTGGAAAAGAACACCATGTTCTTGGAAGCAAGGGCCACAGTTTTAGTAGGCAAATGGCTTCCTGCTGCCTCCATAATTAGTTTAATGTGCTAAGGTTGGTAGGGTGAAATGAAAAGATTGTTTGACATACCTGCTCCCTAAGGACTGACTAGTGCTTTGTAAACTGAATGGTATATCTGTTAATGTCAGAAACTGGTTACCCTGAGCTTTTTTGCTCCAGGCTAGCATATTACCATTGAGCCACAGCTGCATTTCT